AAAAAAAAAAAAAAAAAAAGGACAAATGGAAATTTGCTTGGTTGCTGATTGCTTTTAGAAAGGCCCGACCTGCAAGCAGATCTTCCTTCTCTTTCTTGTCTGAATTTCTTTTGTATTGCTAAACCCAATGCATTATTTATTTATGGGTGTTTGAGTTTGAGCAGTCAAAACAACTCCATAACAGCTCCTTGCTCTGTTTAGTGTTTTTGTTATTGGTTCTGTCCAAGAAGGAAAAGAAGAGAGATGGTGGGTATCCCGGAAAATGGCATTGGAGGAATGACTCTTTCTCTTTGGACCAAAAATAAGAACAGGAGAATGGATTCTGAGCTCTTAGAGGATCTCGGTGACGCTTTAATTCATAATCATCTGGTGGAGAGGAAGAGGAAGAGAATCACTGGGAAATATGCGATTGCCTGTACCATTTTTGCATATCTGAATCATATTCTTCTTGGTTATGGTAAGCTCCTTCTGTCTTTTCTTTCTCTTTTTGGTTCCTTTTTCGTTGTAGCACCTGACGACCTCTCCTGTCAAAAGGAGACTCTCCGTATTGTAATTAGGGATTCATGAGGAATTAGCTCCTCATAACTTGGTCAGCAGTTTCTAACAAAAGCAAGCCAACCACTTGGGTATGCCATTTTGCCTCTTTCTCTCTCTCTGTGTATAGAAGTTGCTAACAGAGGTTTTCATATTGCTTCTGCCAAAATTTATATATCTGCTTGTTTTGAAGGGTGTTCTGTTTTTCCTATGGCTGTATTGGAACTGGTTTGTATTTTTGTGATTTTTCACTTCAAAAATTAACTGAAAAAGGATTGTTAACTTGAACTCCTTGTATTGTTTTAATTTGTTCTTGTTATTGATTAAATGATATTTTTCCCTTTTCTTTAGTAAGTTCTAGTATGCTTTAGCTTAATAGTGCTGAAACATGGGAGCTTTGAGAATTGTATTTCAAAGCTGTGAATTTTATGAATAAGCTACACCATAGAATTCGAAACATTGTTAAGCCCTCTCTTGGATCTCATGGTCAAAAATGAATCTATTAATTAAATCACATTGAAGCTAAGCAACTTAGTCTAATAATGTGCAGATATTGGAGTGATGAGTGGGGCAATCATATTCATGCAGGAGGATTTGAAGATAACTGAGGTACAGCAAGAAGTTCTTGTTGGGATTTTGAGCATAGTTTCAATTTTGGGTAGTTTAATAGGTGGAAAAACAGCAGATTTGGTTGGTAGAAAGTGGACAACGGCCTTAGCTGCCCTTGTCTTTCAAATTGGTGTAGCTATAATGGCAGTTGCACCTTCTTTCCAAATATTGATGACAGGAAGGCTATTGTGCGGGGTTGGCATAGGTCTAGGAGGTATGATTGCTCCGGTGTATATTGCAGAGATATCACCAAGTGTTGGGAGAGGCTTCCTCACCTCCTTCCTGGAGATTTCTATAAATGTGGGAATCTTGCTTGGCTATGTCTCAAATTTCATGTTTTCTGGTCTTTCAGTTCACATAAACTGGAGGATAATGCTAGCTGTAGGGATTTTGCCTTCAGTCTTCATAGGGGTTGCACTTTTCATTGTCCCTGAGTCACCAAGGTGGTTGGTGATGCAAAACCAAGTGGAAAAAGCAAGATCAGTGCTGTTAAAAACCAATGAAAATGAAGCAGAGGTGGAAGAGAGCCTTGCTGAAATACAACTAGCAGCTGGAATTGATAATGCTAATAAGCATAAAGAGAAAGCTGTTTGGCATGAGCTGTTGATGCCTTCTCCTTCTGTTCACCGAATGCTGGTCACTGGACTCGGAATCCATTTTTTCCAACAGATCACAGGAACAGATGCAACTGTATATTATAGCCCAGAAATTTTCAAGGATGCGGGATTAAGAGTAACTCTAATCTCCCTGCTGCAACAATTGCCATGGGTGTTGCTAAAACTGCCTTTATTTTGGTTTCTACGTTTCTCATAGACAAACTTGGGAGAAAGCCCTTGCTCCATGTGAGCACAATAGGAATGACTGCCTGTTTGTCTATTCTGGCCTTCAGTCTTGCTTTACTGGGAAAGGAGCAGCTTGTAACTGCACCAGCAATTTTATGTATTTGTGGGAGTGTTGCTTTCTTTTCTGTGGGAATAGGGCCTGTTTGTGGGGTTGTAGCACCAGGAGTCTTCCCCTTGAGGTTGCGTGCTTAAGCAGTTGCTCTTGGAGCAGTGGTTAATAGAATGTGCAGTGGCTTTGTTTCCATGTCTTTCCTTTCTCTCTCACGGAAAATGACATTTGGTGGAACATTTTTCATTTTTTCAGCATTGTCAGCTCTTCTGTGCTCTTTGTTCACACCATTGTTCCACAGACTAAGGGAAAATCATTGGAGCAGGTTGAGTTGCTATTCCAAGATCAACCTAAACTGCAGGGAAGAAAAATGTAAATTAGAGACACTGAGCATCTAGTACAGAATGCATAAGCAATTGGTGCCAAGGAATGTCTATTTAAAATGAAAATTTGGTGTGTGATTGTTTGTACAAAGACAGAAGGCCACATTCTATATTTACAGGAAGTTATCAACATGCTGGAATTGCTTACCGAAGAGAATGCTAATTTCCAGGCACCCTTCAGTCAGGTATCTGAAATGAAAAGCTATTCCATGGTTGACATCTGAATGGAGAAGTTATAATATTTATTTGAGTTGCATAGTTAAATTTCAAAGAAAACCTAAAGCTTTTCTAAGCTTTACATTTACACGTTCAAGATTGTTCTACCTTAGAATTAAGGCTTAAGTATTGGAAAAGGACCCCAACTTTTATCAAATTCTCAATTGAGGTCCTCAATGTTTATTATACTCAATCCAGGTCTCAAACTCATGCAAAGTCTCAAATAAAGACCCAATTGGATGGAATCCTAATTATCTGTTAAGTCTAACATGATGTCGGTTATAATCCGTTACCCATGAATACGTGGCATGCCAACTAGACAATAAAAAGTATTCTCGGACGTGCCATGTTGTTATCCCACATTCCTCATTTTTCTCCCATCTTTCCTCTTCCTTCCCACTCCACGATTTGGGGGCAAAATCCCTAGAAGTTTCGGTTTGTTTCTTTTCTGTGTAGGGTCTTCTTCTTCGCCCAATAGTAGCCCACCCCATCCCTACAACTTCTCTGCCCAATGGCCAGCCTCTTTCCATGCAAGTTCTTCTTCTTCTACACCCAACAGCCGACCTTTCTCCATGCAAGATTTGCTTCTTCTTCTTTGCCAAGCAGTCGATCTTTCTCCACACAAGATCTGCTTCTGCTTCTTCACCGAGCAGCTGACCTTTCTCCACGCAAGATCTACTTCTTCTTCTTCGCCAAGTAGCCGGCCTCTCTCCGTGCGAGTTCTTCTTGTTCTCCGCCCAACAGCCGACCTTTCTCCATCATGATCTGCTTCTTCTTCTTCGTCGAGTAGCTGGATCTTCTTCTTCTTCTTCGTCGAGTAGCCGGATCTTCTTCTTCTCTTGTTTGGTGCTATTGATTTCCTATTAGCCTTTCTTTGCCGCTAACACCAGCCCATCCAACGGTCAATCACTAGTCTCATAATATTAAAATATTATGATAGTTATCAAATATTAATTATTAACTATTAATTATATTTAAACAATTAATTCAAATACTCTCAGTCAATAATTTTAGCTAACCTGCAAGTGAAAGTTGCCCTACCGCAGCTTCCCTCATGGCTAAAAGGCAAAGGAAGTTTAGAAAAGATCAAACAAAGAAGGAAATTGAACTTGAAATACCGTTGTGATGAGCGAGAAGGATTTATATTCATATATGGGTATGGCGGGCTTCTATCCCGGTCAAGAATGCAGAGCAGAGCAACTGGTTTGGCCCACAACTAATTTAAAAAGTAAATTTGTCTTCAGAAAATTTGGATGTGTATGTGTGTTTTTTTTTAATATTATTTTAAAAAATTAATTTTAAAACTTGAGTATATTGTTTTAAAATTAATTTTATAATTTATTTTATCTTAAAATCATATACTCTTTTGATCCACATGTGTGTGTGTCTGGAGTAAATTTATTTTATCTCTAGTCGGCTTGCCATATGCTGAGGGCTGTAACGGATCATAACGGGCGTCATGTTAGACTTAAGGGATGGTTGGGATTCTATCCAATTGGGTCCTTATTTGAGACTTTGCATGAGTTTGAGACCTTGATTGAGTATAATAAATGTTGAGGACCTCAATTAAGAATTTAGTAAAAATTGGGGTCCTTTTCTAATACTTAAGCCTAGAATTAATTATACCTTGAATGTATCCTAGCCAGAAATTCTTCTGTGTATTCGTACTAGAAATGTTCTGTCGGTTGTGACAAAAGCTTAATAAAGTTTACAATGCATTTGATGTAAACCGAAACAAATATTTTCAATACAAAACTTATTCAAGTTTGGGGTTAATTTTTTCATTTTATTGTTCAAAGCGATCGGATTATGGCAACCATGTTAATGTGAGTAAATTTGCAAAATGCATGTTGGATTTTCGTAGTATTATCTGATATCTGTCAAGAGATACATGAAAATTGAAACTATATATGCTTGTAAATTCTAAGTCTAGCCTTCCAATAATCTAAAAGTCTGCATTGGTTTATTTACAAACATTTCGAGTTTTTTAGAATGAATTCTCCAAGAAGCAAAACTCAAATTTTGTGTAAACATACCTACTTTGCACATAAATCACCAAGAGTTTATACTTAAAATGGTAGAAATTTTGCGGGTTTATTCCGGAAGCGTTAGCAATTGTTCTGCTAAATTGCTGCAGATCGGTGGCTCCAATATTTTATATGTACACTTGAAATGAAAGTGAAGTGGTTTGGTATGAAATCTGTTGTGTTCGTTTTTGTCTTATTTTAGTCATCGTATTGACAGTAGTGGGACTTTGTTGTTACAGGAAACAGGATGCTGCTTTGAAGTTAATCTTCAGTTAATTTTACTTATTTAATCTTGAAGAAATTCAAGGAACAAAAGATGTAACGTTACTGGACTGTTGCCTTTGTTTTTCCTTGATCTGTGCTTTTAGCTTGATTACTGGACCGTTGCTTTGATTTCTGTAACAATGATTTCAGCATTCATAGTTTCCTTGTTTGCTTTCGTGCCAGATTTCTGCAATGTTAATACTTGTGATTTTCCTTTCATAAGTGAAGTGGTTTTGTATGAAATCTGTTGTGTTCGTTTTTGTCTTAATTTAGGCATCATGTTGACAGTAGTGAGATTTTGTTGTTACAGGAAACAGTAGTGAGATTTTGTTGTTAATCTTCAGTTAATTTTACTTACATATTTAATCTTTACCTGAGAAATAAATATGGAGTTAAAGTGGGTATCTGAGTTTAAGGTATTTTGCTTTAGAACATGAATTATACCTCTGTATAGTGAAAAAAGGAGTCAAATAAACAAGAGAAATCTTCATTTCAGAAGGAAGAGAATCAAATAAAGAGTCAGATGACCTTCTTCAAAAAGGAAAAAAAATTCAGATGACCAAGTCGGTGAGACCCTACGCCTGAGCATTTGGCTTAATGGGTAGAGTGCTGCATTTGAATCCTCATTCCTCTAGTAACAGAAAGAAAAAATAAAAAATAAAAAAGTCAGGTAGAGGTGGACGAGCTGGCAAGAGATCTCACTCCCACCATAGTTTGATTTCTTGAGAGGTAATTGCTTAAAAAATCCTGCTGTATATTACCTACTTTTGACTAGAACAGTGAGGTAAACTTAGTATGGCGTGCCAGTGCAAAAATTGGTCTTTTTTTGTGGTTGATGAGTAGACTGTTAGCGTAGTGAGATAGAAAAAGGGGAAAAAATCTTCTTTACTCTTACTTAGTTTACAAAAACAGAATTGGGAATTCTTTAAGTTGGAAGCAACCCTTTTTCTTTTTCCGTAAATGTAAGAAACCCAAATAGAATATGAGGATAAGCCAACAGGTGATGCAAAGCAAAATCTTGCATATTTTTAAAAAATCCCAAAGCTGTGTTCTTCCTTTGAAAACACCATAAAACTTATTTTAAAGTATGGTGTCAGTTTGTTTACAATGACAAATAGAACGTTGCTTGCTTGCTGACAAGAATAAAGGATCCACTTGCATACAAAGTCTTCCTCCTTGTTCTTAACTATTTCATATTTTTAGAAGTTAAAACTAAAACCCAATGCATCATGTAATTATTGGTGTTTGAGCAGTTAAAACAACACCCAAAAGCAATCCTTTATATGTCTATTCTGTGTTTGAGTATTTCTGAGAAGGAAGATATATGGGGATGGTGGATATCCCAGAAAATGGCTTTGGAGAGGTGAATATTTGATATTTCTAAGGGGAGAAAGAATAATCACAGAAGAATGGAGTATGAGCTCTCAGAGGATTCCGATGATACTTTAATTCATCATCAAGAGGCGGGGATGGGTAGCACCACCAAGAAATATGTCATTGCATGTACCATTTTTGCCAATCTGAACCATGTTCTTCTTGTCTACGGTATGCTCTTTTTATTCTTCCTTCTTTTTTTTTTTAGTGTAGTATCAGTAATTCACGTCTAGATTAAGAAATTCATGAAAAAAATCTATTTCCAGTCTCCCTTACCAATCAATCCAACTACTTGATTAGCTCTTTCTGTCTTCATCTCTCTACAGAAGTATTAGTGCTAGGGGTTTACAGATGAGACCGATGTAAAGTCCCACATCAGAGAGATGATGAGAATGAAATATATATATATATATATATACGTCACGGCCTCAGGTTTTGTAAGTTCAGGATAGCGGCTGAAGCATATGTACTGGATCTTATTAAGTTTCCCTTAGATTGCCCAAAATAGACTGGATTTCCCTTCATCATAGCTTAATGAACCATCTGCTCTTTTGGTTACTGTGACTAAATTGGTTACTGCTTCTTAGTAATTTCTTACTACCTTGCTAAAATGAACAGGAAAAGAATGGATAACTTGACATTCTTGAAATGTTTAAACAAGTTCATTGATATTGTTCAAATGAGATTTACCCTTTTACTTTACCAGGTTTTACAATACATTTTCCCCTTCCATATTTTTCCTTGAATTTGCCACTTGATGTCAGTGGGAAAAAATTCAGATTCAGCTTGATAGTTTTGGTAGAGTAGAGCTTTGCAATCTGTTTATTTTGAAGCTAAGAAACCTTTTATATGTAGATGTTGGAGTAATGAGTGGGGCAATCATATACCTGCAAGAAGATTTAAAGATAACCGATGCACAGCAAGAAGTTCTTGTAGGGATTCTGAGTGTTGTTTCTTTTTTGGAAGCTTAGCAGGTGGAAAAACATCTGACTTAATCGGTAGAAAGTGGACTATGGCATTAGCTGCTCGTCTTTCAAATTGGTTCAGCCATAATGGCAGTTGCGCCTTCGGTTGAAATATTGATGACCGGAAGGCTATTGTGTGGGGTTGGCATTAGCTAAGGAGTTATGATTGCTCCAGTCTACATTGCAGAGATCTCACCAAGTGTTGCTAGAGGCTTCCTTATAACCTTCCCAGAATTTTTCATAAATGTAGGCATTTTGCTCGGCTATGTCTCAAATTATGCATTTTCTGGTCTTTCAATGCACTTAAACTGGAGGATAATGCTGGTTGTGGGGATTTGGCCTTCAGTATTCATAGGGATTGCACTTTTCGTCATCCTTGAGTCACCAAGGTGGTTGGTAATGCAGAATCCAATAGAAGAAGCAAAATCAGTGCTGTTAAAACAAATGAAAATGAAGTAAAGGTGGAAGAGAGACTAACTGAAATACAACTAGCTGCTGGAATAGGTAATGCAGATAAGGGTGAGAAGAAAGCTGTATGGCGTGAACTGTTATTTCCTTCCCCTTCAGTTCGCCAGATGCTAGTCAGTGGACTTGGAATCCAGTTTTTCCAACGGATCACAGTAATAGATGCAGCTGTGTATTATAGCCCTGAAATTTTCAAGGATGCTGGGATTGACAGTAACTCCACACTTCTTACTGCAACTGTTACTGTAGGTGTCTCTAAAACTGTCTTTATATTGTTTGCTACATTTCTTCTTGACAAACTTGGGAGAAAGCCCTTGCTCTATGTGAGCACAATTGGAATTACTGTCTGCTTGTCTACTCTGGCCTTTTCCCTTGCTTTATTGGGAAAAGGGCAGTTTGAAATTGCATTGGCAATTTTAGGTGTTTGTGGGAGTGTAGCTTTCTTTTCTATGGGAATGGATCCTATTGTTTGGGTTGTGACATCGGAAATCTTCCCCCTGCGGTTGCGTGCTCAAGGGACTGCTCTTGGAATAGTGATTAATATTGTCTAGTGGCTTTGTCACCATATCTTTGCTCTCCCTCTCGCAGAAAATCACGGTTGCTGGAACATTCATCTTTTCAACTCTATCAGCTCTTTCTGTTCTATTTGTTGACACCAGTGTTCCAGAGACCAAAGGTAAATCATTGGAGCATATTGGGTTGCTATTCCAAGATCAACGTGAACAGCTCAAAAGTAAAAAGGAAACAGCGGATGCTGAACTTCTGGTTCAGAATGCATTAGTTATTGATAGAAGCTTAGCCAAAGTTGTTTTTTTTCTACATATCCGTGCATTCAAGTTAATTCACCTTGAGATCCAAGGTAAGATTGTTCAACTTAGAATTACATATGTTTGCTATCAGTATTTCTGTGTATAGTAATAGTTGAAAAGTTCTGAGATACCTACCAGTTGATGTGAGCTTAAATGGATGATTTTAATATAAAACTTCAAGTTTATGGTTAGGTTTTCATAATGCTATAATATCATGTAGGGATGCAAACAAATTTAGGGATGGCAATTTTCTTTGCGATCCACGGAGTTTCACGGAGATCCCCGCCACAGGAATGGAAATTCCAAGAATATTCCTCACCGTGGAGTAGGGATGGAGGTAATTTTTTCCTCGTGTCCTCCACCTCGTGAGAAACCATGGGAATCTATATAAAATAAAAAATATATAAATTTATTTATATATATTTTTTTTGTATATATATTAGCAATTAATTTTTACTTACTCAATCTAATTAATTAACGCAATACCAATATAATTTAAATTTCACAACCCATTCTTTTTTCAATTTTTCCAAACCCAATTGTTAGCCCAACCCATTTTTTTTGTCAATTTAATATTCCTAAACCTAATTGCCTAGCCCAATTTACATTCAATTTACATAACCCTAGAAGCAGAAGAACAATCCAATTATCCAAAGATTTCAGTCTCTTTGCTTGCCGCTTGCAAATTGTGATTCCTCTCTCCAATCAATCTCCTCTCCTTTGTCGTGCACGCTCTGTACTATAACTCTTGCTCAATCCTCTCTGTCCTCATCTCAACTGTGAATCGGTGATTTCCTTTCAAGCTCTCAACCTCTCACCGTGCCGTCACTACAACCACTGCAACGCTCACCACTCACCACCGCTCACTGCTCACCTCTAGCTCCAAGGTTGGGTCGTCCTCTTTCTGCTCCCGCATGGCCATCTCAACTATGATTTGGTGATTCCCTTCAAGCTTTTAGCCTCTCATCGTGCCATCACTACAACCCCTGCAACGCTCACTGCTCACCTCCAACTCCAAGGCTGGGTCGTCCTCTTTCTACTATCGTGTGGCCATCTCAACTATGATTCGGTGATTCCCTTCAAGCTCTCAACCTATCACCATGTCGTCACTACAACCACTGCAAGTCTACAACGCTCACCACTCACCTCTAGCTCCAAGGCTTGGTCGTCCTTTTTCTGCTATCGCATGACCTCCTTCTTTGCAGCTCTGCCTATGATTCTTTTCAAACTCTCCAACTCCAGCTATCAATTAGATGCAGTTTTTGAAGCTATAGTTTTTGTGCTTTAGTGCTTTAGTGTTTCTAACTAGTAATTTCTAATTTAATTTTTGTGCTTTTATGCTTTAGTGCTTCTAACTAGTAATTTTTGTGTTTTTAACTAGTAATTTTTAATTTAATTTTTGTGTTTTAGTGCTTTATTGTTTTTAACTAGTAATTTTAGTATTCTATCTAGTAATTTCTAATTTAAGTTAATGGGGCTAGGTTTCCTATATTGCAAATGCTTGCTAAAGATGTGTTTGTCATTCTCATATCCACTGTACCTTCAGAATCAGCTTTTAGTACTAGTGGAAGAGTTATTAGTCCACATCGGAGCAAGCTTAGACCAAATACGATACAGGCACTTATGTGTCTTCAAGATTGGTTGAAGAAAGATCTGAAAGGTATTAAATTAAGGCTATATTTCTCTTATTTTCTTTTTTTTGAATTTGTATTCTAAACTTTTATTATGTTTGAAATTCAGGTTCTGACAATAATAGGAATTTCTCCAATCTATTTGAGGAGTTGGAGGAGAATGATAATAAGGATGATGAGTCTGAAGTAAATTTTAAACAATAATGTTTTTTTATATAAATTATTACATAAAGAATTTTTAAAAATTTTTTTTTTTGTTAATTTGGGATATTTGTTTTTGTTTCAGGAAGTTATTTTCTTAACTTGAAATTATTGATTAAGCTTAGCTTAAGTTGCTGCTGTAGAGTTTGCCTAGCTAGATTGGATGGATGTACGCATGTGCCACTTCCTAAACTCTTTTATGTGCTTTTTCTTAATGAACTTATTGCTGGACATATATAGCAGCAGTTTATGCTCTCTTTTTTTTTCTTTTTCTATCAACTTTGTTGAATCTAGATATATATGACAGTTGCACTTTATGCTTTTATTTTTTATAAACCTTTTGTTAGATTTGCTAGATTTATATGGCAATTTATGCCTTTTTTCTTTATGAAATATGAACTTGTTGCTGGCTTGCTTGACAATGACATGTATATATTGGCTGTGTTATTGTGTATATTTACTGCTTATTTATCTTGTTTCAAAATTTTACTTTATATGATTATTTGAGTTAGTTTTATTTGATGAATATGAAAATAAGTGGAGTCTAAGTAGAGCCATGTTGAGCTTAATTTTGATTAACAAGTAGTGAAAATTTTGATTAACAAGCAGTGAAATAGGTGATAGTTTTATTTGACGGATATTCTGAATACTCACAGGTATGAGGACGGAAGCAATTTTTGACCCTCCGCCAAAAATTCCCACGAGAATCCCAATGGCAAGGATGGGAGGGGGTCCCCGCTCCCGTGGGACCCATTGTCATCCCTAAACAAATTTAGAGTATGTTTAGTGGAGTTTGTAAGAGTTTTTATGTTTTTTAAAAATTGTTTATAAATTATAAGTTTAAATTTTTATTAGAGGAAAAATTTAAAAATTATTTTTAGAAATAAAAAAAAAATGAGTAAGAAGTGAGAAAAAGAAAATTTATAAAAAGTATCAAATTGAAACTTTTCAAAATTTACTATTTAAAATCTTTTTAAAGTTAAAAAAATATTTAAAAATATAAATTTTAAAAAAATATATTTAAATTTATAAAATATGAATAATATAAAAAAAAAAACTAAATCTCTTACAAGTTTTATCAAACATTCTCTTAGCCTTAACGAACAGCTCGCGCTATAGATCGTTTAAACTCAGCTTGGGTTGAATTTTAGTCAAGTCTAAGCCCAGCTTGAGGCTGATTGAACTTGTTTAAGATCGCAAACCAAACTCAACTTTGGAAAGATTTCCTGACAGCTCGTGAACCATCTCTTTCACCATTTTCAATGCATCAGTTCTAAACAGTAAAAAAATGTTTCAGTTCATGCCATACAGCTTTCTCTTCGTCATTTAAATTAAAATCCTTAGTTAAGGCCATAAAAACAAAGTAAGAAGCGTAGCTGAAGTTGTTTTTAGCTCTACACCTATTTCTAAGTTCAATTCGCCTTGATATCCAAACTAACTTCCTCCATCTGCTTGTGATGCTGTTATCCATTCATCATCTGAGGAGAGATCATCCAATTCAAGTTGATTCCTTGCTTGTTTGTCTTCCAACTTTAAGTTGTACATGACAAACACCAAATTATTCATCCTCTTTTGGCGTAAATTGTTCCTCCTTTTGGCATGAACCTAAAGCAATTTATTGTAAAACATAAATTGAAAATTGAGAAATAATTAGAAATAAAAAACTAATAAGTATTGACTGGATCAAGGATAATGTGAACATTACCGTATCGAAAATCCTCCAATTATGTTTCAATCCCGATGAACCACAAGACAGGCTAAGTATCCGAATGGCAAACCTTTGCAATTCAGGACAACCATTTCCATAGGATTTCCACCAATCAACTGGAGTTTCCGTATCCCATGCCCTCTGTGCAAATTCACTCCCAAATAGCCCATCGGCAGCCTTAAATTCATCAATCTGCAAGTCAATCTTGCAACTTTCTTTTAGATCTGGTACCATTCTACTTAAGCAGTCATATAATCCCTTCTTAACTTCAAAACCCGCCTTCAAATTAGGACCATGATGAAATTGGGGATTCAAAAAATATACCGTGACGTGCAATGGCTTAAGAAGTTGGGACTCCCATCTAGCATCAATAATCTCCCAAATAGTCTCATAACTTAAAAAATAAAACAGAAATTAATCAAATCATAATGAACAATCGAATTATAGAAATTTCAATAATTGAATATAGTAAGTAAAAAGTAATTATACCTTTCCTTGACATTGTTGAAATTATTTTGAATCTTTTCTTTGCATCGATTCATCTCCTCATAAATGAAGCCCATGGCTGGCTTCTCCTCCAAGTCAACTAAACGACGCACATCAAGGAGCGGATATGCAGCCTTAATGCATATAGTGATATTTTGCCAAAATCTGCAATTAAAAACCACATTTTCCACATCTTTAGCATCCTTTAGTCCTGCATATTCACTATTTTTCCATGTTTGTGAAGAAAACATGGCCATCAATTCACCCTTGAGCTCATTAAGGCACCCTAAAGTAAGATATGCAGTAGCGAATTGGGTTACACCTGGTCTTATTAAATCCCTGCCCTCAGTAAACTGCTTCAACATGTCAATGAGTAAGGTTCTCGAATAGATGAAAGCTGTAATCTTTTTTCCCTTTCTAATTGTCTCATGGTGGACCTTAAAATTTTTCCCAAAATCCTCCAACATCAACTCAATACAATGTGCTGCACATGGTGTCCACCAAAGTGATTTTCTTTTCTCCATTAGCATCCCCCCAGCTAATTTATAATTGGTAGTATTCTCAGTAATAACCTGCACAACATTCTCCTCCCCTACTTTATCAACAGCTTCATCTAACATCTCAAAAACTTTTTCAGCACTTTCTAAAATCCCAGATGCATCAACGGATGATAAAAATATTGTGCCCTCATTGCTATTGACCAAGAAATTGCGTATGGAACGCTGCCTTTTATTGGTCCAGCCATCACACAAAATGGAGCAACCAGTTTTTTTCCACTGGGCTTTATGCTTCTCAAGTAATTCCATAGTATGCTTAATCTCTTTTTTCAAATACTTTTCTCCAATCTCATGATAAGATGGAGGTATGAAGCTAGGTCCACATTTCCCAATCAACTCACACATTTTTTCAAACACTGGATTTTTCACACAGCTGAGAGGAATTCCACTAGTGTAAAAAAACCTAGCAATTTCTCGGCTTACCTCCTCCTCCTCCTCCCTGGAATCTTTTTTGAACATTTGAGTAATGGTGTGTTGGGTGCTTTTACATCTTCTAAACAAAGAATTAATAGACCTCCTTTTAGTAACCATGTTCTTCCTTCTCAACACCTCTTCATCATCACCATCACTCTCCTCATCCCGGGTGCCAAAACCCTTTTTCTTTTCTTCTGTTCTCTCTGAACTTTTCACAAGCACATCAAGCATGTCCTTCTTAACATTTTTTGGCACTTTAAGACAGGCTCCTGTATCTTTTCTAGTACCAGCTAAATGATGTTTGAAACGATAAATACCCCCACTGATTTCTTTGTCACAATACTTACATCTAACCTTCCTAGTCCTAGAATCCCCTCCTTCAACCTCATAACCATGTTCCCAACCCACATCACTCCTATTTCCTGGAGCATTTTTTCTTTTTAAGATTTTCACATCCACTGAACCACTCCTACTGTCACCACTGCAAGATGCCATTTTTTTTTCAAAAGAAACACTAACTGTACCACTCAACCAAAGCTCAAACTCAAACCACAAGCAAACTTAAAAACAGAGCTGTAAAGAACGAAACAGGAGAGGGAACTGAAGTACCGATAAGTGTCAATGGAGCAGAGATGGAGAAGATCGAGACCCACTGCTACCGCTAACCCTCAGTGCAACCGGAGAAGAGGAGGAGGAAACGAGAAAGGGAAGCCCCCGATCCGATGACCAGCAACGAGATCTGAGGACTGGCGTGCGATTTGGCTAGGGCTTTGGGGGATTGTTCAGAGAAAGGGATTTGGGTTCTGTCGCCGCTTTGGGAATGGGGGATTTGAGGTTTTCTTTCCGTTTTTAATAAAATTACAAAATAGAAGTGAGACGGGATCGCCAACATTTGCGATTCCGACGAGTTTACGAGTAGGATGGCGATCTCACCCATCGGAAACGCGATTCTAACAACCTCCACTACTTCAGTTACTGTAAACTGAAAATACATTTCAAATATAAAAACTTACTCATGTAATGTTGTAATAACTTCATCTCTACTCCAGGGACTAATTGCCTTTTTCCTCAAGATCAATTTTCCACACAGGGTGATAACCAACTCTGATAAATGATCTCAGTTGCAGGTGCATTGTTATGGATTGTGTTGTGGTATAACAATCCAATAATCAGAGCTCCAGCATTGCTGATCATGGGTGAGATGGATTATTTCACAAAGTTCCCAGGGATGGAGGACTACAAGAGAAGTGGGATCTTGAAGTAGTTTGTTCCTGGTTGGACATCGTCTTCGCGGTAGATGGGGATCATTTTGTTCAAGAACAACTTCTAGCTCATCATAATTTTCCTCAAAAAGACACAGCAGTTAATTGAGGATGGTTTATGAATAAAAGACCCAATATGTGTAGCTGGGAATCAATAGTCGCCCCCATTTGCTGCAGATGATTAGGTCAACTCAGTTGATCATGTCCTCCAGCCTTTAATTGACTAGCAAATGCCGTATTCTCTTAGCCTTAGTTTGGATTCGAGGTGAAGAGAAGGAGGGCAAATGCCTTCTTCTCATGTTTGGGTTGTTAATTTTACGCCTTGTTTGGATAGAAAATAGTAAAGGGAAGGAAAGGGAGGGTGATGTGAGAAAATAAAAGGAAATGGAAGGGGAGGAAAAAAAAGGAACAGAAGAAAATGAAAGGAAATGATTTGTGTTAATTTTATTTGGATAAATAAAAAATGAGGAAGGAGAAGGGAAGGAAAGAATTGTATTATTTTATATTTGGATAATTAAAGTAAAAGGAAGGAAATGATTTAAATTAATTTTAAATTTACAAATTTACTTTTTAAGTTTGTAACGGAGTTGCTTATTCGTTTTTGCTTGCTGTCAATTTGTTCAATTTATTAAATCACTCCATTATACACCGAAACCAAGCACAAGAGAAGCTTAGTACCTTACCATATGTTTTTTTTTTGGGTTATAATATGACTTTGGATTAAAAAATTGATAAATGCAAATTAAAGGAAAAAAATTATTGATTAAAAAAACATAAAATTAAAAATTTAACAAATAAATATTAAATGAAACAATCAGTAAAAATGATTCTAAAAATAAAAAGCAAATAATTTTATTACAATATAGTCTCAATGATACCAATAAATAATAAAATAAAATAACTAAGAAAAATCAACTCCTAAAAAATTATTCAAACATAAATTCCAATTGATGCAAATTAGATTAGTCAAATTTAAAAAATAAAGCTACGAATTGTGCCCAAGAACTTGATGATTAAGAAGTACCAAAAACAACTCTCATAACAATATCTAAGCGTCTCCAAGGTGAACATCTTAGTACTGCTCTTAATTTATCTGGATGCTCAAGCATATATAAATAGGTAGTGGTATTTGATCTGAGTGAAGTCTCAAATCCTCCAACATATTCCAAACTTGAGCCTCTGAAAGTGGAGGATGTGAATTCCCTTCAGATAGAGCTCGAGCTACATTGTTGATAGCTTCTTGAATGCCTATTGCTTCATTTTCAATTTCTTGTGACTTTATTTTTTTCGATTTTGAGCTAGTAGGCACATTTGAAGGACCTCCAAGACATGTTAAAGGATCAAAATCAACATCATTAGTTCCAAAACCATCCAAAGATACCTGATTCTGTGACACTATATGATCAATTTCCTCAATGGTATTTTGAGGCTCATTATCATGTTGGGATGATTGCTTTTTCTTTAATTCTTTTGCAGTCTCTAACTTTTCACCTATAACTCGATCATTTCCAAATAGTATCACAAATGTATCATAATGTAACACTAGTTTTGTCATCCACTCTTTAGCATTATTATTAACCTACAAATCAACATTTTAAAATAAAAGTAAATAATTTAAGTCAAGCAAAATCATAGCAAAGAAATTTAAATTAAAATTGTACCTTTATTAATGCATCCCAAACTTCAGGCTTGGCACTCCACAGCTTGGTAACAGGGCTCCATGAAAAACCACTAAGGTTTTTGAATAAATCATGGGATTTTGAAAGGTTTGCCTTTAAAGTTTTCATGTGATTTTTAACTTTATCTTTGTCAACCTCCTTCCCAAGTTTTTCTTTCAATTCATTAACAATATTTTCATATGCTTTGGTGGTAAAGGAACCATTTACCCTATTGCCCAAATTATGTTGATGTAGGAAAGCATCCATAAGAGCCTCATCCATTATAGGTGTCCATACTAATTTGCCTTCTTCACTTGCATTTTCAATATTACTATTTTTCTTCTTCCCACCCATACCTAAATAAAAGAAGTTATTAGATAACTTTAAGAAGTTATTAGATAACTTTATTCAGTAAAAATTTATAATAAAGGACGTTTATTATTTATAATATTAAAAAAAAATAAAAGCAAATAATTCAAGAACAAAAATATTAATTCAAGTCAAAAGAAAAAAAAATTACAAAAAGGAAAATCTAAAAAACCAAAAAGTAAACTAGCAATTTTTGTAATTGTGCCACATATCAGCAGCAATAACATCTCTCAACATTTCCCCCCTGCTGGCATCTTCTTCTTTCTCTCTTGAAGTATGAGTTTGTTGCAAATTTTCTTGATTTCTCAATTCCATACCTACCTCAGCTATAAGCTCTTCATCAGGGTCCACACCCATTAAGAAATTGTGAATAATGCAGCAAGCTAAAATAATTAAATTTTGAGTTCTCACTCCATAGAATGATTCTGTTACGCCCCTTAAAATCTCAAATCTTCTTTTCAAAACACCAAATGCTCTTTCAATAGCATTACGTAAGACTGCATGCCTAAGATTAAATAATTCTTTAGCATTTTGAGGAGGATTATTTGAATATTCTTTGAGATGGTAGCGAACTCCTCTATAAGGAGTTATAAGGCCACTTTTTAGCATAAACCCAGCATTAACAAGGTAAAATTTTCCCTTTGAAATGATAAGCTTATCTTCTCTTTTTAATGCATCCTTAATAATTCTAGAATATAAGGCAGTCCCTTCCCATCCTGTTAACACATAGGTGAACTTTAAGTCAAATGTACAGGCAACTAAGACATTTTGGGTTGGATACTCTTTTCTACCATGATATTTAGGGGCATCTAAGGGTGAGACTTTTTCATGAATGTGTGTTCCATCAATTGCACTTACACAATCCTTAAAGTATGGGTAGAATCTACTACTTGACATTATCTCTACAGGGATTTGTGAACCATTTGGTTGTTTAATAAATTTTTCTTTAATTGCTATTATAGCTCTCAACACACTATGAAAATGTCGACTAGTAGTTTCTCCAAAACATCGAAACCAAAATTAGATTGAGGGGTTTTTTTGTCATTTTTAGCTAGAATATAAAGAGTTTTAGCTACTTGTTCCTCAATAGTTGCTCTCCTTATGGGTTGGAAACCTCCTTCCCTTTCAAGTATGTCACAGAATTGTAAAAAAGCTCTAGGACCCATCCCTATGATATAACCGCTTCTATCACTTCCCACAATTTTGTTCATTATCTCATCTCGAACTCTTTCTCTCTCATTAATTATATTATCATCAAGAAGCTTCTTTTTTGATCGACTTCGAAGAAACCACCAATAAACAACTAAGCATATTACATGAGCAATGACCTTCCTACGCATGTCTCTCATAGCATCCATCTATATTTATAAAATACAAATTAAAATTCTATGTTATGATATATTTTAAATTCAATTGTATAACTAAAAAGTGAAAGAATAATCAAAGTCTCAATGTACAAATATAAATATAAGGCATTTCAATATACAAATATAAATTATCAATTTTTATATTAGAATTACCTAGATCAATGTTGAAGGCTACTGCTGTGTCAAAACAAATTCCAGCTACTGCTGTGTCAGTGCTCTTAGCAGATAAATAGGGAAGACGTCCACTGCTTTTGCTAGCTGTCTCTGAAATTAATGGTTTGTGATGATATTTATTTATGAGATACAAATCAACATTCAAACAGAAAATCAAGTAAATCAAGCAAATAAATGTAAAAAATCAAGTAAATCAAGTAAATCAATGTGTTTGGGATGTGTGTTTTCTTTTTATGAGTGGAAGGAGCATCCCGTGGACTGTGCTGCTGCTGCTACAAAACAATTTAAGACACAGCTGAAGATTTTTCATAGGCAACATCCTGGTTCTTAATGAAGTAATATCATATGAAGATGTTTCTTACACAGTAGGGGGTTTTGCATGCTAGTGGGTTTGAGAATTGGGAAGTTTTCGATGATTAGAACAATGAGATGTGAAGAAATTGCAAAAGAGGATAGAAACCCGATAATGGTGTGGTGTCGACACTAAAATTAGTGTCGACACCATACAGTAAGCATTTAGAAGCCCAACATGGACATGGTGTTGACACATACTTTTGGTGTTGACACCAAACGAAAGGGCTACTCGACTATGTAAATTCATGCCTTCATGCCTTCATGTTGGGATGTTTATGAGTTTGGGGTACCCTTTATACTCCGTATTTCAATAAATATTATTTTTTGCTGTTTAGAAAAAGAAAAACAAAATCAATGTGTTTTGGTTTTGCTTAATTAATGGTTTGTGATGGTATTTATTTATAATATTTTTTTTCAGAAACATTAAGGATGGTAAAAAAAAAAAAGTTTGATTTCCAAATAAATCAAGCAAAACATAGTCCTAATTGTGCAATTTCGAAAGCTGCTAAATTGCTGACACGGACAAAATGGCAATTTCATCATTTTCTTCTCTCCTTAAGCACCCAGTTCACTCAAGCATTTCATCAAACAATAGGTGTGCATTGGAAAGCTTTAGGTGTATAGAATACTGTGAACTCAAAACACAATCCAATCACATAGAAAACAAAAATAAACCTCTAATGGAAGGATCATAGAGTTAAACGATGAATATGAAACGAAATAGCATTTTCTAATCAACTGTCATAGAGGAAGTTAAAGAGAAACATAATTGAAAACAGGAAACAAAAATGAGATAAATACCTGTGAATCAAAACAGCTAATTCCTTGTTTTCGTTTTCAAAAGAGAGAGCAAGAGTAGTCGGTGAGCTAGAATGCTAGCAATTCCATTTTATAATTCAACTTCATTTTCAATTATGGATGCTATACTGTAAATTAAAAATGGTCGAAGCCGGTGAGAGAATGGTGAAAACTCAAAAATAATCAAAATTGAAGTTGAGCAGGTATATCCTTACCTCGAATATTGGCTACTGATGCTGATAACTAAGGTGGAAGAAGAACCAGAATGTGTTAAATAATATGAGTAAAGAGGATATTACGATAATTATTGTGGGCAAAATCTAAACTTTCGCCAAATCCATCCCAAACCCCCCAAATTGGGGGGATTTGAAATCTACAGTTGCAAGGGGTTGTTGAGGGGATCCAAACCTCCTCCATCTCCTTCCCCTTCTTGCTCTTTACATATCCTAACATAAGGAAGTAGACAGCCTCCCCTCCCTCTCCCTCAATTACCATCCGTCCCCTTCACTCCCCATCCCTCTCCATTGGTCTCCCTCAATCCAAATAGTATGTTAAAGGAAGCAAAGGGAGATGAAACACTTGGAGAGAATAAGAGAGATTAGTTTTATACATCTATTTTTTAAAAGAAATATATAAATATATTTTATAT